GTTGATTTTTCCCCTTCTCATGTCGTATGATGTAAGTTATGCCGATGAGTTCGCGCGCAAACTAGCCAATTCCTATGAAGCTGACTGAAGTGTCTATAAGATTGCAAGAATTAGTGTCAGGAATGTTTTTCTGCGCCGAAGAAGTTCTCGCAACAAACACTCACTTTTCAGTAAAGGTTCTCAAGCTTACTTATTCAGCAGCCTGAAGTCGCCTTCTACGTCTAGCAAGCTCGTAGTCAATATCCTTTTTTTATTAGGCAAGGGTGTGCTATTTGTGTCACCAATATTCAATTTTCCACCAAACTAGAAAGCCAAATTAAAGGTAAAAAAGGTTTAAAGGGATGAATTTATATAGCGCCATTTCCAGGAGCTCAATGGCGCTTTACAAGATCAGTGGAGGACTTTACGGGCTCAGCACATATTAAGGAGCAAGTATCAGCTGTACAGCTTACAATCATGAGTGATTTGTTAGTATGTCAGTATTATGCCTCCAGATTGGGATAGACTATTAGTGACACCCCTAGAGGTACCAAATCTGGAACCCTAAAAGATACGACTAGTATCCCCGCCCTTCTTCAAACCCGTCACTCCCTTCCTCTCCGGTTAGATTTAGATGTAGCGATTAGATTTTTTTTCTCTTTCTGTTTCATTTTTGTTTGTTTGTTTCATTATTTGTATTTATTTGGACCCTTGTTTAATTTCTTTCTTTGTTTCTTTCCTTCTTTCTGTATTTATCTTTCTTTCTGATTTATTTATTTAGTTTCTTCCTTTCGTCTTTCCTTCCTTCTTTCCTTCATTTATCTGTTCCTGTCTTGGCGATTCCTTTTTACTTAATCACTAAATATCTTGTCGCAGTATACTTACAATTCTATAGTTTAAACAAAGTGAAACAAAGCACCTGTATGGTTTCTCACCGGTATGGATGTGCTCGCGAATTTTTAAGCTGCATTTAGTCACTTCTTTATGAGTACTTGCAGTTGAGTGTTGAAGCTTAGCAATGACACTAGAGAGTTTTAGATTGACTTTTTTTCCTTCCCGCAAACGACAAACGTGACCACGTTTTCATCGTTTTCCTGTATTTTACTCAACCTCTTGCAAACTTTCATTTCACAAACAAATATTCTTTTGTTTTTCTGCTACTTTTAATTTTTTTGCGATTCATTTTCAGTTATTTAAGAGAAGTTTTCACTGATGACTGACGTTACTGACGTTTGCCGTGAACGTCAATCTAAAACTCTCTAATTTGAATTATTACTTATTATATGTTTATAAAACACTCAGCAAAATACTAGATTGTGATTGGATTGATTCGGCTATTTTCGTGATTTTTTGTCCGATGTCGACTGACTTATAGTTGATTATCTATCAAAACTATCAAATTTATATTGTGGTTCGCGTGGGATCCCTGTGGTTTTAAWTTTTTTGGGCTTCCTTTGTCTAGGTTTTGCAAACTAAATTCAAGATGGTCGACAATTTCATAGGTTTTTTCGCTGTAATATCTGCAAGTTTTGTTTCATATTTTCAACATTTTAAAGTTTAAATGGCGAAAAATTTACCAAAAAGAAATATTTGTCCACTTCCAACTGAGGTAAGCTTACCAAATATTGATATAGAGTTGATGGCTACATAGTTGAACTTTATTTGAAGAAACTTTGATGGTGCGGCTTTTCTCCTCAATGTTAAATATTTTTACCGTAATGTATTACTTTATTTAGAATAGTTTATACTTTTTTGCATTGCTATAAATGAAAAGCTTTTAATTGGCTAAAAAATTTCAGCGGGCCTTCACATAGTCCGTGGAGATATTACTAGTGAGAAGAACAATCACTCAACGAAGTGTTTGGCACATGGCCGATATTTCTACTGGCTCACTGAAATACAGCTGATCTATTGTAAAAATGTTCAAAATGTTTTTAAGAAGACATTCATGGACGAACAAATATACTGATTATTATGTACTCTTTCAAAAAATAACTGTTTTAGACTACTTTTAGAACACTTTTCTTTATCCAAAAAAACGTAAATTTTTACATATCGTACACTCGGGTTTGAACCTTAAAAACTTCCATTGAACTGTGCTAAAACTTTAGTTATATTCAGAACTACATCGCAAACTAGCTATAGTTGCCTCATAGGTATCAGTGTTTACTTACCTTCTTTAGAATCAAGCCATAAAAGCACGCCATTCGCCATTTTTTTAAAGTGAATCTGGAGTCTGGAGCTGGTATGAAAAGGCGCCAAAAAGTGCGGAGAAATGTGCCACCTATACCACAGGGATACCATAACAAAAATAATAATAACATTATCCTCTTAATAATATAATTCAATTTTATCTCCTCTTTTTTATTTTTTATTTTTATATATTTTCTATTTTATTATTATTATTATTATTATTAT